TATTTCTGAATTAAATAATTCCATTTAACTTCATTTGTCCTTGGCTTTTTTCATTTAAAATGCTGAACCCTTGTCACACTTCCCTCTGAGACCCGGCAAACTTTCTGGGTGGCTGTGTGGGGTCTGCTCCTGTGGCAGCCACCCCGCAGGCCCCTGACCAGGGTATGCACGCCCCAGACACTGTGTGCATCTCAAAGACCTCTTTCTTCCAGTCACACAAGGTATGGGAACAAGGCACTACCCCAGCCATGATGCCGCCACTTCCAACTGGGCCAGGCCCCCGGGTCACAGGAGCCCGGCCCAGCACAGCCTGAGCCTCTGTGTCCTGTAGCAGGCACAGAAAGGTCCAGAGAGGGGTTGCACCTCTGGAGCCCCACACTCTGAGGTGGCCGAGTGGTGCGCGGCTCTGGGTGTCCTGCTCCCACCTAGGCACCCCATACAAGGCCACGTTCCTGCTCTGGGGTACCACAACTAAGCAAGAGCTCCCGGCTTCCCACGCCCTTCAGGACGAGCCTGTTGGCTGGAACAGCCTCTTACAGGGTTTGGACGTTTTCTACCCCCAGTTTCCATCACCAGGACTTTGCTTAAATGGTATTTTTCACATATTCTTCAAAAATATAGCATATGCTCAAAGATAAAGCACAGTGAGGAGGCAGAGGAGAAAGAAGCCTACTTTCTACAGGATTGAAGTTTCATCAACAGCTTATTTTTCAGAATTATTTTCTCTTAAACATGAATATAAAAGAAACGAATGAGATAATCAGGTATTTCTGGACATACGACATTTGCTATTTTCTAACAAGAAAGAAAATAGCCCGCGTCCAAAGTCGTCACAGGTTGTCTGCTTGTGTGTGTATGTGGTGTGTGTGGCGTGCGTGTGCACACACATTTAACACATCTGCTCTACCTGCATCACATAAAAAAAGAGAAGACACACTTTCCAGATCAAATTAGTAATTTTGTCTATTAATCTCAAAAAATTTTCTTGAACTGTTTTTCAAGCCATTTGGACAATACTTACATGTAAGCTATCCATATTATGAGATTTTTTTCAACAATCATAAGAAAAAAATCAGCTTCACTCCACATCAATAATTAAAACAAATTTAATCTAGAATTAAAACAAAATTCAATCCGTCCCATCAGAATAATCCATCACAGCTCATCTTGAAATAACGTTGCTGAGGACTGAACAGTGTGACTTTCGCCCGTAGTTATCAAAGGGAAAAAGTGCTAAGAAAAAGAAATACAGATTAAGAATAAATTTTAGAGTAAGTGCAATTTATAAAGACCGTCTATAAAGAGCAATAGGATATTCATAAATAAAATGGGTAATTTATGCTGCCTAAATATCATCAGATTCACAAAGGAGAGAAACAGAATAATTTTTAAAGAATTCTTTTAAAAATAAGACTTCCTTCCAAAAGAAAAACAATCTAGCATGTCAGGAGATAATTCAGTAGTTTCTGATTGCTAAAATCTTCTGTAAATAGCTTGTAACTTAGATTGCAGTAAAGATACAACGCTCTGCAGACTGAGACATACGGGGGTCTGAGGGACGGTCCCCAGCATTTATGAACCATGTCACCTGCTCCCCCAGTGTTGATGGGGAGCGGTGAGCATCTGAAGGCACTCCTGTGCACTTGGGCCGCCTGTTCCTGCCATGGGCACTGGGTGGGCCCTAAACGTGGTCACTTCCTACCCTTTTTTGAGTCTGTGGTGTGACCTGCTGTAAGGAGGACCCCTTCTTTGGGACACCCCTGGGGCCAATGGCCAGCCCCCTGCAGCCCACACAATATCGCCTGCCATCAGGAGGGGTCAAGTCTGACCCTCAAGGCCATGCCGGACTTCGGACAGCACTTCGACTTCAGCCAGTGGCTGTCCTTAGGAACGGACCCCCAACTGTTCACATCTGTCTTTCCCTCCTGAAGTCATGGCTCTCTGCGCCTCTCAGCGGGCCACCTCATTGTGGCCTTTGGAACCCGCTGAGGACCAGCAGCAGCCCCCATGGGCACTCAGTGTCCTGGCCAGGTAGGGCTTTTGAGCAATATAACTTGAAGGTGGGCAGCGTGTAGTCAATACTTGTCTGCATTTCTATCGGCCTCTCGGCTCCAAGTTTAAGACAGTTTTAAAGTTGAATTGTAATGAAAACATTCACTGTTCCTAGCTGTTGGATTTTTCTTTTCTTTCCATCAAGGGCATATTTTCTTGTTCTTTCCCTTTTGTGTCACCAAAAGAAAAGAACAGGTGACAGGTATATTTGGAGGGTACAAAGGTGATGCCAGTGATGCCACCCCACATAAATACTACCCCAGAGGCTGCGGGCCCTGGAGCCCACCACGATGGCAAGACCTCACGCTGTTACTGGCAGCAGACCCGAGTGGAGGGCTGACTACGTATGCCCCGAGCTTTGAGCCCCAGTGTTGCTCAGGAACTTTCCCATTGTCCAATTTTACTTCCTCCATTAATTAAATCACAACCTGCTGTTCAAATAGTGTGATGTTTCCTAGATGATCAAAACCCACCAGACTTCTTTATTCTGCAGTTTCCACTTTCATGTAAGTAGATTAAGTTGAAACATTTGAGACTAGATTGAGAGTAGATTGAGTTGAAACATATGAAACATGAATATTGCACGCCACATCCTGACAGTGTCTGGAAGTAGGTATGTCTATGAGGGAGACATCTACAATTATACAGCATATGAATTTTCCAGGAAACTGGAAAACATTTGGGGATCTTCCTTAATTCAGAAATATTTTTAAATGAAAAGGAATAATAAGTTCTTTCCCAAACCTAAGGCTTTAGATTTTACGACTGATGGACAGAGAGATAATAAACATTGCCCCTTTCTATCTACCAGACATCTTTTAAAGCAAGGATACCAATAACGCCTTTCACAAATCAGCACACAATACCGAATTAAGATTATTTTTCAGTTTTGCGATTTTTCAAGAAAATAAGTTCATGGTTCTAAACTCAACATGGGTCATGTGGAAATGCACACCAACAGAGGGTCATATGATAATGGGAACCCTTCAGTGTCTTGTCTGTTTAGCCACATGAGTTCAAACTTCTCCCGAGAAGCCTGAGCTTATGTTCACATGACGCCACGTTCATGGGTGAGGATGGACCAGGCGACGGCCCCGAGCACTGATTAGCCACACTGTGCGTCCCTAGGTCACTGCCACCCTTTATTTGAGCCTCAGCAAACTAACCCTAAGACCCAGAAGGCTCTGGGCAGACCCAGCCCTCCACCTACTTGAGAACTGCTGCTGCTGGGTGGTCACGACCTGACTCAGGAGTGGCCCAGCAGTGTAGACTTGAGTCAGCCACGACACACAGTCAGCACTACGGCTGCCGCCGTTCGCCACAAAGCAAGAGCAGAGCCCGAAGCAAAGTGAATGATTTTTTTTAAGGGAAACTTTAAAGGCATAAATTTGAGAATTCTCCCTCCATTTGAAAACTACCCTCTACGTTCAATGTGACAGGTGTAAAAGCTTTATCAAGGTCTACTTGCCTATTTTAAGCGTAGGCTTTTTTTTTTTTTTTGAGATAGTAATTATACTAACACACTAGAAGTAATAAACTCTGGTGTCACTTCTTCACCGCAAAGTTGTAGGGGCTTTCTCTTTTTTCTTCTTTGGCTCATGGTTATATAATTTAAAGAACGAACACAAGAAGAATATTCATTTTCTTTTATAATAAACTCAGTCAGATGTGCCTATTTTATGCTGACATTTATGATGTCCTTTTATAAACTACATTAACGTGTTTTCAGAAGCTAACATGAAGACTGCCTGAAAAAGCAGCCTCACGAGAAGAGGCCCCATTTTTAACACTGATGATCACATTCCTTTGTCAGCACTTTTTAGATAGTTAAAAATAATCCACAAAGTTAACTGTTTCCTTTAGTATTTTAGTTCCAAGATTACCAAGATGCAACATTTTGCCTGAGGATGTGGTCTGTCAAATTTTTAAACTGGATCTGTAGCCAATATATACAGACCAGGCTCTGGGCTGCCAGGCTTGTCAGTGTTGTTGGCAACACTGTGGGCAGGGAGTTTGTGCCTCATCTCTTTTTAAATAAAAAGCCAAGCCTTGGAATGACGGGATTGAAAACCTCCCCCGGAGCCTCCTCCCCAGCCTGGCAGACGTCTGCCCCACTGAGCGCAGTGCTGGCCGCCACTGCCCAACAGGCAGCAGGGTACAAGCAGGTGCAGGCCATTTGGACTTTGCTCAGTATTTGTTCTTTAAATATCATAAACTACTTGCATAAGGGAGGAATTTTATGGAGCACATTGGGCATGATTTTTTAATTCTTTGTGTTGGAGGAAACATCTCCTTTCCAGCCTGTGGCTCAGGGCCACGCACCTCAGGGCCCTTTAGCCTATTTAAATGGAAGATGACATTTCCTGGGGAAAACGGCCCGGAATTCTGCTGCTGCTGTAACCCACAGCTGGTAGGTATGGCACGAAGGGCAGACCCTGCAGACAGCCTTGCTGGGCAAGAAAGTGCAGCTTCTCTTCTATGAAGCAGGCGCCTGTGGCCTGCACTGCAGGGAGCTGGACCTTGCTGCTGTGGGGAAGGCAAGCGCCCACCTGGCGCCCGGGGCAAACCAAACAGAGGTGGTGACGCACCCGCATTTCTCCTCGCAGGGGCTGCCCAGGTCTTCCCAGTGCCTGCCCAGGGGAGGCCAAGTGCACAGTTGCCAGGCAGAGGGGCCTGCTCCTGGAGGGGCACTGGCAGGACACACAGCCAAGCAAGGTGGCAAAGCCATGCCAAAGGAGTGCAGCCAAGGGAAATCAGGACAGAGTGAGGTCACCGATTTCAAACCTTCTCCCAATGGATGCGCAACGGGCGCGTTGGCAGTGCCCTGTCCCCGCGGCCAGGCGAGCTGACTGCGAAGGAGTGCGCACCTCCTGGCCTCCAGGGCGACCCACCGTGGCGGACGCCCCTGCACCCGGGTTCCCCACCCGGCGGCCCGCGCCCGCACCCACCTTGACGACGTAGGTGACTCCGGCGCCCAGCACCTGGTCGCTGGCGTGCGGGGCGCGGGGCAGCGGCTCGTCGCCGGGCCGGCCCTTCCTGGCTGCGCGCATGGCCGGGGCGCGGGGGCCGGGGGGCGCGCTGCCGTCCGGGGCGGCCAGGCTGGGCGCGCTGCAGCTGCCCGAGAGCCGCGCGCCCGCCCGCTCCCTGGCCGCCGACAGGCCGCGGAGGCCCGAGCTGGAGAGTTTCAGGTGGGACACCTTGTGGAGCAGGTGGCCCAGGCTGCCCGGGCCATCGTCGGGCGCCCTGCGCAGCGCGTCTCCGGACACCAGGTAGGGGGCCGCCGCCGGGGCCGCGCGCGCCGCCGAGACCTTGCCGCCGCCGCTCACCGACAGGTTGTGCAGAAGGTCATCGACCGATGTCACCGAGTCATTCCTGAAGCGGTTGTACTTGGTGCGTGGAAGCATGCCCCTCCGTGGGCTCGCCGCATCCGCCCGGGCGCTGCAGGAGCCGGCCCCGGCGCGGGCTGCCGCGCATAGCAGGGGCCGCGGTCCCGGGCGGGACGCAGCGCCGGGACAGCCGGCGGGTGCGGGGCAGCGGCGCCGGCCGCCCACTGCTAACAGCCCGCGCCGCCGCGGCCACGCAGCCCCGGGCCCGGGCTCGGCTGCTGAGGGCGGCGCGGTAGCTTTGCAAAAGTCATAGTTTCCTCTGATGAGCGCCCAGCTGCTCGGGGCTGCTCACAGCAAAAGCATGACTCACTCCGAGAGGAGACCCTTCTCAACAAAGGCTCGGTGAGCGCTGCAAATCACTTCCTGTAGCAAAAAAAAAAAAAAAAAGAGGAAAAAAAAACCACATACACCCACTGACAGCACACAGGAACCAATCAGTTCTCAAATTTCCTTCTTCTACCTTCCCAGATATTTTCTTCCAACCTTTGGTTTTTCACCTCCCCTTCCCCCACACACGCAGCCTTTGTGCCAGGGAGAATCCAGTCCCTTCAGATGAGCAGGTGAACTTTCTGAAACCCGACATTCTGAGCTGGGGGTTTCTCTTCCCTGTGCAGCCCATCAGTGGGAGGCCCAAAGTATCTGACAGTGATGCGTTAAAATGTGACGAAGCCTTTTTAAGAATAAAATCTTCAGCAGATCCGCATGAATTCTGATTTGGAAGCGGCAGGAATTGCTAAATAGCAAAGAAAAAAAGGAATTATTCACTCCCAGGTGAACATGAAATACTAATTTCCTGGGTTTTTCTTTTTTCTTTTCACATCAACTGAGCAGCCATGACAAGTGTCTTTGTGGCAGCGCAGTTCCTCCAAAAAAAAAAAAAAAATCTGCATATGAACTTCTGCACAGAGCCGATGAGGGCATCCTCCCTCGCTAATTTACAGCAGCCTTTCTCAGTCAGGGTTCAGTCGAATACGACTTCCAAAAAAGAAGAAGAGAGCTTCTGTGATGGATGGCACCAGGCTCCAGAAATCTATCCGAAAAAAGGAGCTGCGCTCGAAGCTTTCTTCCAACTGAATGTGTTCCAGCTCTGGAAAAAAGCCTAAGAAACGCTACCCATGCATTTCAATGTCCCTTCAGTCGCTGCTTGCAACCCCACAGTAAGAATGAAGAAAATGCAGCTGCTCTGGTCACGCATCAAATCCGCAGGAAAGACGCTTTCTTTTCAGGAGACAGACGGGCTGTGAGTGAAACGCACAGGCCTCCTTCCTCCCGACGGAAGAACAGGCCACTGGTGGCCCCCAGAAGGTCTGCGGACACTCAACCCCAATGGCCCCCGGTCGCCGTGGGCTCTGTTCTTCTGCGTCATGCATTGAGATGACCTGCCCGACAGACACCAGGATAGGCTCCCCTCCAAGTTCCCCGGCTGCTTCTGCGCAAGCAAATGCGTTTACCTCTAGCCCATTATCAGGCCGCCCTGAGTCTTCTGACACCCACAGCTAGACGTGTGACCCATGAGGTACCGAGGCTTGACGAGCTTAGGGAGCAGGTGTGGCGAGGCCCACTCTCGGCAGGCTGCCGGGGAGGCCAGCTGCCGGCACGCAGGAGGCGAGGAGCAGCGGCTCCCCTCCCAGGGCCGCAGGCCTAGCAGAGCGGCCGCGTGGCTCTCAGTTTTTCCCTTCCCCTTGCTTGCATAGCAACAGCAAATGCACGCCCCACAGATGGTTGTGACGGTTGTCAAGGCCCCCCCAAATCTAAAGCAAAAATGTCTTATCATTCCCAAACCGTGGTCCTCATTAGAAGCAGACAAAAACAGCAAATGTGAATGAAATGCTGTTTGTGTGAATGAAAGGGCTAGCGAGCGAGCCAGCGTTTCTGTGAATGAAGCGGGGCCTTGCGGCCGCGCCAAGCAATCCCCTGGTTCCAGCGGCCTCAGCCAATGAGCAGCCGCCCCGATGACTCATTCAACAAAGGCTTGCTCAATAGTGGAAGATTCCATTTCAATCAAAGGCGGGATCTTTCATCCAACGGCAGTGTGGGAAAAAGAAAAAGGAAAAAACGCCAGGCTGATCACAAAGATGCAGGACGGAAGGGGACCACTGCCATGGAGAGAAGAAAAACTAAATTTTCAAGGGAATTCGAGAACCGTTGGTCAGGTCCGAACGTGCACAGGATTGCCCCCTTGGAGGTGAGCTGTGCCCCCAAACTTTCATTCAGCCGTTCATTTACATCAAGGAGCAACCGTGAATGTGCCGTTCGGTTCAGCACTTATTATGAATGTACAGCGAATGCATTCAAAACCTGGGGCCTCGCCCTCGATTCTTTTTGTGAAAGGAACACAGAGCACGCGGCACGCTCTGAATCTCTAAGGAGAAAGAAACCCACAGCTACACAGTTAACCCCTTAACCGACGGAGGGCTCCTGTTTCTTTTACAGTGAAAAGGCAAATGGAGAGAGATTGGCTTTTCAAAATATAAATAGCAATATAAATGTACTATATGTCAGAAGATACATAACCAAAGAGAGTGATTAATATTCCAAGAACACGATAGAAAAGCTTACTTATCGGGACGATGGGATCATCATTTTGGAAGGTAGGAGAAAAGCGGAAGGAACCCCCCTCCGAAGGCTCCCCAGGACCAGAATAGAAGCTGCAAGCCCAGCCGGCATCCCCCGCCCCGCCCTCCCGGGAGAGCCCCCGGGCCCCTCGGGGCTTTACTGCTTATTTTAGACACTGTCCCCAAAGCCTGAGTAGCTGGTTTATCAGACTGCGACAACGCAGAGGTGGATGGCAGAGGGAATTTTCATGGTCTGGCAACACAGGAAAACAGACAAAAGGAAGCCATTATAAATAGAGCCCTGAGATTCGAGAAAGGCAGGCAGCCAGGGGTCGTGGACGGTAGTCTTTCCAGAATATTGTGGGTTTTCTTTTTAAATCTATTAATTTAAAAGAGTATTAGTTTTCTATTGCTGCTGTAACCACAAAATCAGTGGTTTAAAACGAGAGAAATTTACTCTCTCCAATGCTGTAGGTCACAGAAACCGGTGGCATGTGGATACAGTGGAGGAGGTGCACGGGGGCTCCTTCTGGGGGTCTACAGGAGAATCCCTATCCTGGCCTCTTCCTGCTTCCGGAGGCCGCCCACGCGCTCGGGGGGGGGGGGGGGGGGGGGGGGGGGGGGGGGGGAGTGGCTTTGCCCCGTAGAAGGTTTCCTTCTAGCAAAAGAGGCAGAAAATACAAAGTTAATATTATAGCCTGTATGCTACACCAATTTTTAAATACGTGTGACACAAAAGCTATGCCAAGGGAGTGTGCTGAGCTTGGCCCAAGGATGTCGGGGTGACTTCAGTGGGGAGATGGCCCCCCAGCAGAGTTTGGAGGGGTTGCTGGGGTCTTCCAGGTAGATGAGGGGAAAAGACACCTCAGGAGGAGATGCTGTGTGGGGAGCAGCTCAGGGCCTGAGCCACTCAGTGCTTCCAGAATCCATGTAGCTTGCTTGGGTTGCAGGAGAGTGTCACTTCCAGAGGTTAAGAGTGCCCAGCCTGGAGGGTCTAGGAATAAACCAAACTCCCTCTCGAGATGCCACAGGGGGTGGTGGGGGGAGGGGTCCTGCAGGGGCTCGAGAGGGGTGGGGAAGTCAGGTTCACATTTTGTGTGGACGTGGGGCGGCTCTGGGGGGTTGAGAGAGGAAGAGGTCACAGTACAGGTGAGAACTGATGGGGTCGTGAAGGCAGGCAAGGGGGCTGGAGGAAAAGGAAGGGTGGGTTCAGGAAGCACTGAGAAGGCGAGCTGACCTGGATGACAGATGGATGGGGCAGTGGAGAGGGGGGCTTTTCTGGAGGCAGAACTCAGAAGGAGTTTGGGGTGCAAGATGCTTGTTAGGGGCCAACCTCTGTGGAAAGCTGAGGGAGGCTGCAGGATGGCCAGAGGGGAGAAGTGGGACTGTGTGAAGCCTCACACACCCCAGCCTGGGGGGAGCCCCCCTTCAGTGTCCCCCTTGTTCCCTCGTCCCTCTCTCCTCACTCTCTCAGCTGCCCCAGAAGCATGGCCTCCAGCCAAGCAGCCCCTGCAGCTCAGCCAAAGGAGTGGGCCATGGAGAGGGCCTGCAGCCGCACTCCGCAGGGGCAGGAGGCCTCTGTGGAGGAGCTCAGGCAGGGCCCTCTGCATCTCCCGCGTAGAGGGGTGCAGAGCAAAGGCCCTCTTCTGACTTGGACGGTGAGGCTGAGTGAGTCTCATCCGTCAGGATGAGGAGCATAGGTGGCCGGAGGGGAGAGGAGGGTTCTGAAGGCAGGTGAGCGCTGGCACATCCACGGAGAGCTGTCCAGTGCTGAGGGGCAGGCAGGGCTGGAGTTTGGAACCTGAAAGTCATCGGGTGCCTGTGACGTTGAGCCATTCAGTGGCTGGTGCACACTTAGGAAGGAAGAGCCAGCAACAGGGACGGATCCCTAGGACACGCCAGACCTCCCAGACGGGAGCTAAGAAGAGCTGGTCAGGAGTGGGAGGACACATACGGAAACCTGGTCTGGTGGATGCCGTGTGTCTTAGTCAGCTCAGGCAGCTTTAACACGACACCACAATGGGCAGCTTTAACAACAGACAACTATTTCTCACAGTGCTGGAGACTGGAAGTCCTTGATCAAGGCTCCAGAAGATTTGATGTCTGGTGAGAACTGACTTCCTAGTTCATGGATGTGGCCTCACATGGTTGAAGGAGTGGGGAGCTCTCTGGGGTCCCTTTTATAAGGGTCTTAATCCCATTTATGAATGCTCATCTTCATGACCTGCTCACCTCCTAAAGGACCCCCCTCCAAATACCAACACATTGGGGGTTAGGTTTCAGCATAAGAATTTTGGGGGACAAACGTTTGTTTCAAGAGAAAGTCAGTGACAGTTAACAAGGGCAGTGGTGGCAATCATAATACTTTGATTGACCATCTTCATGTGCCAAACAATGCACACCCATCATTCCCGCAGATCCCATGACCTGGGAGATGGAGTTTACAGCCCGTTCTGCCCAGAAAGAAACCAAGGATCAGAGGGCTTACAAAAGGTGCCAGGGCCACACAGGGTTAGTAACTGGCTGGGCTGTCTGACTCCGAATCCACGTTTATGACCACGGCATCACCCAGCTCAGAGAGCTTAAGTCAGGAACACACTGAGAATCACCTTTGGAGGCGGTGATTATCCATCACTACACCTTAGCAGCGAGAATGGAGAGGGAACCACTTAGGTCACAGGATGGCCTCAACCAAATGAGAAAATGGATGAAAAAGTCATGCTTTCCAGAAGTTGGAATGAAATGAAAGAGAAGATGCAGGGTGATGGCTGGAAGCACAGCACAGGAGAGAGCAGGTGATGGAAGGCGAGGGTGTTTAGGGTAAGACGGAGAACAGAACGGGAGAAACAGAGATCCAGGAAAGAGGGAGGGTCGAGTATGGGTGGAGCTACTGCCCTGGAGCGAGGTGGAGACAGGGAGGAATTGGGGAGCAGATCATTTGGGGTTGGACAGGAAACAGGCGGTTCCAGGAAAGAGACCTTAATGAACAAACACGTTCAGAGATGGGGTTAAGGGATTCCAAAGGCTGGTGACACACAGGGATTCCTAACAGCCAGAAGCCATTCCCACACTTAGGGCTGAAGGCAGTTGAATCTGGGGAGCCGGTGGAATTCCAGCTGGAGTCTTGGAATGGGGGCTGCCAGGGACAGCTGTAGTCTGGGAGGAACAAAGTTGCTGACAGAGAAGTAGAACCAGTGATGAAGAGGGAAAGGGAAGAAATACCCCAGCTTCTCTCTCCCCGCTCTCTGATCTCCTACTTGTGCCTCCCATGGGCCAAACCGATGGGAAGCCAGAGGTCCAGGGAGCCTGGTGATGAGGAGGGAGGGGGCAGCCTCCCAGGCACAGAGCCGGTTGGGCAAGGTTGTGCTTAAAAAGTGAGAGGGGTCCACTTAAGTAAGGAATTTGAGTTGAGGGGGAATGTTTAGAATGCCTGCCAAGGGGAAAAGAGGATGCTGCTGACGAGCAAGGAAGTGCAAAGGCATTGGCATTATGAACCCACCACGACTCTGTGCGGCCCTGGAGAGCACAGGTGTGTTTCTCTAGGAGTGTTCATCAGACTACTTATGAGCTGGCGGAAAGTGAATTATTAGGTGGAGGGTTCATGGGAGGCTGCAGGCAGGGGAGGGAAGAGGAGAAGGGGCCCAACAGGAGCAGGTGATGGGCTGTGGGGAGAGGAACGGCAGAGATGGAAGTGGCTGCTGAAGGAGGATCAGATGTGGGCGTGGAGGTCTTGAGGTCCTGGGGAGGTGGCAGCCTGAATCGTTTGGGATGCACATTCAAGGGAAATGGCAGGGAAGGCCCCTGATGGTGTCCCCGAGGCATAGGTGGGGAGGGGGGCCTCAGTTTCACTGAAGCCAGAGATTGGGTCATCCTAGCAGGAGGCTGGGGATGGAAGGGAGCTCATTAGCCACGACAACGTGGGAAGGAGTGAGCTAGCCGGGCATAGAAAAAGAGAGAATGAGAGCACAGGACATTTAGAAGGGAAGAAACAGGAGCCACACCCTACAGCTGATGTGGAGAGAGAGGTGAGTGCCAACCATGGGGGAGGCTCCCGAGACCAAGGACGTCCACCTCGGGTGTGCACCGCCCACCTCCTGGGTGCAGTAATATCTGTGGTATAAAGAATACTTTGTAACAGGTCCCCCGACGGTGGGAAGCCTGGGTGCTGAAACTGCGCGTGCGCCAACAGTTCAGCACCGAGGACAGTTCCCGGGAACCTCGGCCCTAGACCAGGCTCCTGTCCCCAGAGGCACCCTTGAGCCTTGGCGAGCTCCAGGGAAAGGTCCCGGCCCCTGCGCCTCTCCACGAGTGCTGCGTCTGTTTATTTCCAAGGTTTAAGTATTGTCCCTACCTCCAGGCAGCTGCGGCCTCGCAGGCCCACTTGAGCGACAGGATGGGGTCATTAGCCTGGAGTCCTCAGTGGGGGCCACTGGGCAGCTCCTCCCTGGGCCGGGCCCTGAGCTGATCTTCTCGCAGGCCTGTCCGATCCTTATGACCCCACTCTACAGATGAGTACACCAAGGTAGGAGAGGTTTAGTGACTTTCTATGGTGACCCAGCTAGCAGGTGGTAGAGCAGGAGTTCACACCACGGCCAGCCTGACTCTAGCACCCACCAGAACAACCTGCAAATGGGGGATCCTCATGCAGCCCTGCCACTGCTCAGTCCCACCTCTGTGGAAGGATAGGAACATAACTGCTACCTCCTTACACTCGTGCCATGTGAACACAGGAGCCTCGCAGGCTCAGCATGAGGTATTTGATCATTCCTGGGGGAGACAGGCAGGTCATCGCCTACTGTACACGCAGGAGTCAAAGTTAACCCTGGGCGAGCCATGGACGTGCCAGCCTCAGGGAGGAAGTGGAGAAGGAAGGGGGAGGCTTTAACGTGCTCTGACAACGGGCACATCAGAAACACAAAGCGCTGGGGAAACGGTTCTTGTCTCAAAAAGAGGAGTTCCGGGGAGAAGCCCCAGAGAGGGGAGGGAGCCGCAGGACTTGCACACTAAGAAACAGCAGGGAGGCTGTGCGCGCCGAAATAATTGCTTGATTAAAATGCGCAAGAACCTTATTTCACTTGTAAAAGAAATTAAATCTTTTCCTGAAGAAGAATTAATTTAGAAGAATTTTAGTGGATTCTGTATTCCCGTCAACTCCTTGACCGTGTGCATGTCTAGTTTTATGTGGAAACAATTTCCTTTCCTCATTTTTCCTCTATTTTTAGAGACATTGGATTTTATAGTATAATCTCCACAAATATGTTTCATGGCTGAATAATGTTCCATGGAGTCTAGAAAATGTAATTTCCTTAGGCCTCCCCATCCCTGGACACTTCGATTGTTTCTAATTTATCAGGACCGTAAACATCGCCATAGTGAGAGCCTTTGCACATGCAGCTCATTTTGTATCACTGACTTATTTCTCCGCATAAGTTACAGGAAGTGGAAACTCCTGTAGCTCTTGGTTGGTGCTGCTGAGCGGCTGTCCAAAGTCCTGCGTCAGTTTTCACT